GAGCGGTGAATCCGAGAAAAACTACAGAACCGCCGGCGAGGAGAGAGAGACGGAGGCGACGGAGATGTCAGGAGGCCGCAGGAAGCCATAGCTCTCGATCGGAAAACCTCTGAACCGGCGGAGAATTGCATCAGACGATGGAGGTATTAGAGCTTCTTCTTCTTCTTGGTTGGGAAAATCACAGTCGTGTCGGTTTACGCATTCGTTTGGTGGTTTCTGTGACTGTAACGGCTTCTGGGGTTTCGCAGACGCAAGCGATTCGATCATCCAAACGTGATTCAGAGATTATATTTTTTTGAGAAATTATAAAAAAAAAATAATGTGCTTCCCTCAAGGAAAAAAGAATTTTAAAAAAATTGATGTTTTTTTTCAAATTTTCTCATAATTGTGACAAATGTTTCAAATATAATAAATTAATAAGTCGCGAAACAAACTAATATATGAAACGCTATATAATTTTTTACCTCATTTTTTTTATTTGAAATTAAGTAAGAAGATGCAATAGCTCGAGGATATTTTACATTGTAGGATTTGATTTATTTTGTTTCGTAATTTTAGAATACAAATTTATTGTGGTCGACCGTATGAATTCTCCTTTCCCATTCATATCGTTTTTGCATCATATTCTCCGTTATTTACAACATATTCAAATCATTTCTAATTATTCATTATCAGGTGTAGGTGTATTCTTTTCCGTTTCTTCATTTTCATCTTTATACTCTCTAATAAACTATCTTAAACTTCTCTCACCTAACTTCTACTTTCTCTCTAATAATCTCATTTCGAATTCGGTCTATTCGTATATATCCGTACATCCATCGCAATATATTCATCTCAACCACATATATTTTAGATACATGTTGTCTTTTCGCCGCCTAACACTCATTAGCAACCTATGCTGACTAGTTAGAGCTTCGTTCGAGATAACTTTGCAATTCTTACATAGAATACGATTCGACTTCTTTATAAGAATAAAATCGATCTGGCTAAAATTTTGTCCACTTTTAAAGGTCACTAAATGTGATTCTCTTTTTTAAAAGTAAGTATTTGCCAACATAAAATCATACGATATGACAAAATCTAGGATACTTTTACCTTCTTCATTCCTAGTCTCATAGCCAAAACCTTCATATACCGTTTGATATCTTTGTCGATCCTTTCCGACATGTCCATTTAAATCTCTACCGATAAAAATAGATTTTTAGGGTGGTACACTTTGCATAAGATTATCCATATCTTCTCAAAACTTCTCTTTACACTCGGTATCTAATCTTATTTGTGGGGCATAAACATAAATCACGTTGATAGTTTCTCTTTCTATAACTAATTTCACAAGTATGATCCTATTAGCAACTCTTTTTAATGTAACCACCGACTCTTTCAAAGATTTATTTTAAATAATATCAACCTCATTTATATTTCGTTATTGACCCGAATACCACAATCTGAAACCCGTATTTTCAGTCTTCCTACTTTTCTCTTCTACCTATTTAGTTTCATGAATGCAAGCAATGTTTACCCCCTTCTACTCATCGTGTGTACAAGTTTCATCAGCTTTCCTATAAGCAATCCAATATTTCAAATAACTACCCTAACTTTTCGTTCCACCAAAACTTTCGTACTCCTCTTCCTATAAAATTGTTTATTCTCTACTCTACTTAGACTTTTAGTAACATCGACACTCTGGACTAACTTCTTTATCCACACTCGTTTACGATGTGGGAACTATTGTCTATTTAGTACTATACCTGGACGCCAACATGACACATCACATTCGGATTATGCCCTACGTTCTTGCCTATTTTTCACTACATCCGATATAACCCGTCGTAAATAGAGGACGCACCAATGTTTATATCATTAGAAAATAGGACATTTGGTTTTAGTTTTGTTGGTTGGCAACTTACCACAAAATCTCCTCCTTTTTTATTTGGGTTTGGAATGGAAGAATGAATTTGTGTTGACAGAGTTAATCCTAAAAAAAGAATATCTAAAAAAATCACTCTTTTAATATGGGTTTTAAAAATCTTAGATTTTTTATTACGTGCGGACATTTCGAACTGAAGTAAACTCCAAAGACTTGGACAAAAGCAACGATTAAAGCGTTCACGTGTTTCGAATTTCCCATGTTTTCATTGAACATTCGAAAAATTCTTGTCCCCGATTCTTAAATATAAAAGTCAGTCCACATAAAGGAACCATGTTAATTTCGTGGAGCTTTTTTTTTTAACAAGCCTAATAAATTAATTTTAAGTTGAATAAATAATAATAATGATTATTTAACAAAAATAAATAAATAATAATAATGATGATGATTACAGAAATTGGAAGCCAACCATCATTAGGTGACTGAGGAAGACAAAAAAAATATATATCTCAAAGACGGTCGAATATGATGAGCACAATAATTAGATTCATTTCGAGATTTTATTTGGATTTTGGTTCAATTATATATATATATATATACATTATATTCATTCGATTTTTATATTATATCAGATTGAGTTTGTATTTATATTAGAATTGTGTGTATCAAGAAAGAAGGCAATTTGACCTGCACAAGGGGAATCAAATCAACGGAGGCAAGAGAAATGGTTCAAATAATTTCCTGATTATTTTCTTTTATATGGTTTATTTGCAGTAAACAAGTATCTACAGGCGAAGAAAACAAGGTGCAGCATTACAGGTACCATCTTCTTTCTGAGGTTTCAATGCTTTCCTTTCTTTTTTGCAATGAACACAAATCTTGCAGCTCATGATCTCAGATACGATAATACCAACCGATCTACGAGCTGCCGAGAAGTTAAAAGACGGGCAATTTACTCGCCAAGCCACGAGAGGAATGATTCGGGATTCAGCTTGCAAGTGAACTTGGAGTAGTAGCCTTCCTCTGTTTAAGCAGTTCAGACAGAACACTATCAATCTGGCAAAAGACTTGGTCTTTGGAGAGGTCCCCTTTTATCTAGAGAAACAAACAAAAAAACATCGATTTGCTTCAAAAATCTCGTAAAAGAACCGGAAGATAACAGATTGTGAAACGAAATCGAAAAGGGTGTTAGAGATTTGCCGTGCCTTGACCGTTACATCATCATACATAGAGAGTACATCCATCACATTTTGATTATGAGTCATTAACCGCAGTTTCACCTGTTGAAAAAAAATGATTAACCGTCGAAATATGAAAGATGGATTAGGAAATGAAAGGAAGAAATACCAGACTTGCCTTCTCTTCTGTATCGTCAAAACGTTGGGTGAGTCTAGCAGCGATCTCTTCAGTCTCCGGAGGAGAATACTTCATATGGTATATCTTCCCCGTGACTGGATCCAATCTACGACCAACCACTCTTTCGACAAGAACCTCTTCAGGCACCTGGCCAAAATCAGAGCAGACATCTAAGCAAGTTCTACATTCCTCGTCATCCATCTTACTCAACTGAATAACAAATCCAAAATATGCAATCCAGCATAGTAAAAAACCAAATTTAGCTAATCGAATAATCAGTATTTTGGTTCAAAGAACCTGTATACCATTATAAAACTTGTCTCATCAGATGACTGCAAACTTTTTGCGGTAAGTGCATTGCTTTGCCCTCACTTGCAAAAGTGTACATTTGGATGTTCTAGAAAAATGCCCAAAGTATAGGTTCTTACTTCCAGGACAATGAACAGATCAGGCTGGAAACCAAATCCCTTTAGAGCTGTTGCCTGAGATAGGCTCCTGGGGTATCCATCCAAAAGCCATCCCTTTTCCCGTGAATCTGGCCGTGACAAACGCTCTTTGACCATCTACATCATCGAAAAAGAGGTGCAATCGTCAAAAAGACAATAACCGCCAGAACAGGGTAAATGTAAAACTCCTACCATCACGACGATTTCATTGGGGACTAGCTGTCCTTTCTCCATAAATTCTTTTGCCCGTCTTCCATTTTCACTTCCAGACTCTATTTCAGCCCTCAGCAAATCTCCGGCCGAGATATGCACTAGCCCGTACTGCATTTGCCAAAAGGTGAAGTCTGTTCAATCTCTACATATGTTTCGTGCCCATCGATAGACATCATGAACAAGTCATATTTCTTCCCCAGGAACAGAATCTAAGAGAGAAGAACAACAACAACCGAAAACTACCAAACACCAGCAAATTTTCACAAAAAAAAAAAAATGAGTTTCTAGCCTCAATTAATCAACCGATAATCTTCAAGCTAATCTTCCAGTCTCGATTAAATAACCAATGCATAAGTAACCCTTTGCCAAAAGAACCATTTTACAAAAGAATAATGAAAGATTTGATGCTCAAGTTGAAGCACCACAGCTGCAGGAGAAAGCTCTCATATTATGAGGTTGAAGCTCACAAAGCGCACGGGTTTGACTTCAAGTAGAATCCCAATTTCAGATCGATCGTAATTTCGATTTGATTGTGAAATAATACACAACGAAAAGAAAACCCATTCAGACAGGATCGTCATGAGATTAACAAGAACAAGAGGCTTACTTTCTGAGTAATGAGCTCGCATTGTGTACCTTTACCAGAAGCAGGAGCTCCTGATATCATAATTTTCAGAGGCTCCGTCTTCTTCGCCGCCGCCACAACCTACTCGTCCCCACAAATTTAAAATTCAAATTCGAAGTCGCAGATTCAGAATGCACCTAACAGAAACCGATCCTTCCACACGCGACCACGTACCTGAAAACTCGCGGCATCAGTCGAAGGAGATCTCGAAACTCGCTGGAGCGAGATGCTCCGTCTCCGGCGAAGACTGAGCACGGCGTCGCCGGCGGGTGACGACCGTGAGGCAGGCATGTTGAGGCCGCAGAAGAGAGAATTAGATGGAGAGACCGGCGACGGAGAAGAACGAGGCGGACACAGAACCGTCGCCGGAGAATTTACGCAGGCCGCCATCTCTCTCCCTCTCTCTCCCTCTCCCTCTCCCTCTGCCTCTCTCTCTGAAAAAGGACTCGAAGCTGAAAGTACGAAGGCTACCTGTGGTGGTGGAGAATACAGGAGAGAGACAGAAGCAAAAACGAAATTGACCAAATTTTCCACATGTCCAAAGAAGGCGCAATCTTATGGGCCTGGGCTTTTTAATCACCACCTTGCCCCTAAAGTTTATTTCGTCACGCAGAAAATGTTTTTATTTATTTATTTATTAGGTCAATTTAATTAAATTTTAATTATACCACAAAATATTTCTAGATTTAATTATTAATCTGTAGAGATTTAACCATTGTAATGACATTTAAATGAAATTATGCCATTTAAGTAAGATATAATGCTATCATTGTTTTTAGATTATACTGTTTATAAACTAGTGAGGGATGTTTTTTTTGTTATCGGTTGAAATGTCCTATAATATATAGATACAATATTGTAGGTTGTATAATAAAATAAATATTTATCCCCTTCAAATTGTTCTTTAGTCTTAATAATAAAACAAAAATACAATTAGATTTTTAAAAAAGCAAATTATCAATTTATCATTTAATATTCTTGGATATTCAACTTATCAATAAACTTATGTATTATATTATTTACTTGATAAAATTACCAATTTATCAATAAACTCAAATTTTGAATATCGTTTCATATTTGGCTACTTCGATTTTTAAATAAATTTTTGTTGGGAATCAATTTTAGTAAAAAAAAATAATTTTTTATACTCAGTTTTGATTCAACTATATTAATTTAGTTTTATGATAAAATGACATAATATTTGATTCGATCCTATTCGTAATTGATCCTTAGAAGCAGCAGAACACAATTTAATTTAACTATATGGTAAAGTATTTTTATTTTGTTGTGTAAAAAAAAATTGAAAATTCCGATTATATTTTCAAAATTCGAACAACAATATATATATATATATATATATATATTACTAATGGAGACAA